TGTCTTCCCAAGAGATTTGCAGGATTTTCCGGAGGCAGCGCTGGTGGAATCGTTCCAGGAGTTGCATGTGATGTCTGTAGACTGTCCACGTCTTGCAGGCGTATAGCAGGGTTGGGAGGACAATAGCTTTATAAACAAGCATCTTGGTATCCCTACGGATGTCCTCAAACACTCTCTGCTTCATTAGGAAAAATGCTGCACACACAGAGCTCAGGTGGTGTTGAATTTCGGTGTCAATGTTGACTTTTGTGGAGAGGTGGCTGCCAAGGTAGCGGAAATGGCCAATATTTTCTAATGTTACACCATTAAGCTGTATTTCTGGCATTGGAGAGGGATTGGCCGGTGACTGCTGGAAGAGCACTTTGGTTTTCTCAGTGTTCAATGACAGGCTGAGCTTCTCATATGCTTCTGCAAAGGTGTTTAGAGTGGCTTGGAGGTCTTCTTCTGAATGCGCACAGATGATGTTGTCATCAGCATACTGGAGTTCTATAACAGATGTTGTAACCTTGGTTTTGGCTTTCAGTCTGCTGAGGTTAAACAGCTTGCCATCTGTCTAATAGATGATTTCCACTCCAGGGGGAAGCTTCCCATCAACAAGATGAAGTATCATAGTGATGAAGATGGAAGACTGATCGCCTCTCCTTGAAAACAAAGCTCTTTGTTTTTTACCAGTTTCATTTTTTTTTAAAGAGAGGCATTTGAGATTTTAAAAAATCAAGTTTTCCAGTCCATCCTACAGTTTTCTTGTAATGGCAAAGTTAAGTAGTAATGCAGTAGAATACTTTTAAAATTCAACATAAAGAGTAATGAGTTACGGCTAAAACACTACAAGGAGTAATGGAAATTACTTACTCTTTCAAAATAACTTTCTAATTTCAGCAGCTGAGTTCCTGGAAAAGATGAGATATAATCCAAGTAGTGCTCATTTTTGGGGCTCAGTATTTTAATCCTATCATCATACCAGCTGTCAGTTATACTCGGATTGACAGTTCAGGGTTGTCCCAGACTCTGAGTTGTCAAAACCTGGGATATAGGCTGCATCTACACTGCAGAATGAATGTAGTCTAACTCCTAATATACCAACTGTGTTTTTAAATATCTCTTTATATAATTGTTGAAATATATCCCACTGATTATATAAGAATATCAGGGGAGATTATAACAGAGAAGGGGGTGAGACATCTAGTATTTTTAAAAGGTAGGAACAAGGAAACACTAGAACTGAAAGACTTAAAATGCTTCTTCAAATGAATTCCGCTGCCACCATTTCAATATTAATTAGGCTGAGGTAATATTGAGAGTTTGTTCTGTAACACACACTGTGCCACTATAGTTTCTTAGAGGCTGGTATGAAGCTGACTTTAATAACACTTTGACCACAAAGGTATTCACACTGAGGCTGGTATAAGTTAAATAAAATAACAAGAATGTTTATTGAACAGGCTTGAAATATTCAGGTATGCTTAATGGTTTCAGTAAAACACTGCCATAAAAAGCTTGTGGTTGTGTTAGAGTCAAAATCTTAAATCCTCTGGGTTACAAGTCTTCAAAGTTCCACCACAGAAAATTACTTCAGGAAATGAATCTCTGAAAGTAACTCCCAAAAATGCCCCTTAGGAATCTAGCCAAAAATACCCTGAACTAGACTTCCTTACGAATTGAACAGTCCACTAACTGGGTACTGCTCCTTCACGGTATTCTAGCTATTTACTCAATAGCTACTCTGAATACTTCACAAAAGACTGACCCAATCTTTTTCTCCAAACCCAAACTCGCTCTCACTAACACCAATACTTCTTCTCTCTAACAGCTCCAAACCCTAACTGACTAAACTGGAACTTCAAGCCTCTGTTTAAAAGACACTTTCCCCCCTCTAGACCACTTAGGCTCCACCCCCATCTTTCTAGCCAATCCTAGCCTTCTGATTTTCCCTCTAAGACTTGAACACCCCCCTCAAGACAAACCTAACTAAAATGCCTTCTCCCTGTCTCCCTTTCCTAAAATGGATGCCGTGGCTTCATTACACCCTGCTTCTGCCAACCTAGCAGTTCGAAAACATGCATATATGAGTAGATCAATAGGTACGGTTCCAGGGGGAAGGTAACGGTGCTCCATGCAGTCATGCCGGCCACATGACCTTGCAAGTATCTATGGACAACGCTGGTTCTTTGGCTTAGAAATGGAGATGAGCATCACTCCCAGAGTCGGACACAATTAGACTTAATGTCAGGGGAAAACCTTTACCTTTACCTTACAGTTCTTTTATGGCCCCTAATACCTTCTCTTTCCAGAATGACAAAGGATTAGTTATCTTTCCAAAAAGATAATCTTCAGAAAAGCATCCTGAGCATTAAGTTCTACTTCTCCCACAAGCTCATATTGCAAGAGCCCTGTGTCTGGATCAGACCAAAGGCCGACAGGCAGGAAATGAAAGCAATATAGCGTTCCCAGCTACTGCTGCCCAGCAACTGATTATAATTCATGTCAAACAAACCTTAGGGTGTTATGAAGTCAATTATGTTAAAGCAATTAACCTGCCCATTTTGTGGGTTTACATAAGAAGCAGCAGCAGCTATAGGGTGGTCCCAGTAAGCACAGCATTGTAGAATATAGGTTTTTGCTTTTCCCCATTCTATGAATTTTGTCTTGAGCTGCTATTTGGTGCCATTAGCATTGAACCATGGCAGTTAAAGTGGTGCCAAACTGCTTTAATTCTACAGTGCAGATGAACCATTAACGTTAAAGGGAAGGCACACTCCCTACTCTGTCAAAGAGTCCTGGGACTCACCAAACTGCAAGTCCCAGGATCCCATAGCATTGAGTCAAAGCAGTTCAAGTGGTGTCAAACTGCATTAATTCAACAGTGCAGATGTCCTCCTAGTCATTACAGAAAGGAATTAATTGCAAGTAACAGCTTATCATTTCCAAGCTCTTCATATTGATCACGGGCCTGCAATCTTGTTTAGTTCTTCCATTAGGCACATTATGTATCAGGTCTGGGTTGTTGTAGGTTTTTCGGGCTATATGGCCATGTTCTAAAAGCATTCTCTCCTGACGTTTCACTTGCATCTATGGCAAGCATCTTCAGCGGTTTTGAGGTCTGAGGTCTGTTTGTAGCCATTGTTGGAATCCTTTCTTCTGGCTGAATGAGTCTGAATGTGACAATCGAATTATAAGGGCAGACAGCAAAAGGGCACTGTGCCCAAGTACAATGATTTCAATCCATCAGTATGTTGAGTTATTGTAAATTTTTTGGGCTGTATGGCCATGTTCTAGAAGCATTCTCTACTGATGTTTCGCCTGCATCTATGGCAGGCATCCTCAGAGATTGTGAGGTCTGTTGGAAACTAGAAAAATTGGGTTATGAATCTGTGGAATCTGTGGAATGACCAGGTGGGAGAAAGAACTCTTGCCTGTTGGAGGTATGAATGTTTCTATTAGCAATCTTGATTAGTATTTAATGGCCTAGCAGTTTCAAAGTGTGGCTTCTTACTACCTGGGGGAATCCTTTGTTGGGAGGTGATTAGCTGGCCCTGATTGTTTCTTGTCTGGAGTACAGAGAGGAAACAAACAAGGACATCTAATCACCTCTCAACAAAAGTTTGCTCCAGACACTGTCAGGTGTCTGGAGCACTGTCAGGTGTCTGTCAGGCCATTATATGCTAATCAAGGTGATCAGTTGAAACCTTCACACCTAGCTCTAGCAGACAAGAGTCCTTTGTCTCACCCTGGTCATTCCACAGATATATAAACCCTTTTTCCTAGTTCCAACAGACCTCACTACCTCTGAGGATGCTTGCCATAGATGCAAGCAAAACGTCAGGAGAGAATGCCTCTAGACCATGGCCATATAGCCCGAAAAAACGTACAACAATCCTATCTTGTAGTTTGAAGCCATTGTCCCGTGTCCTACTCTACAGGGCAGCAGAAATAAGTTTGCTCCCTTCTCCCTATGACTTCCTCTCACATGTTTATACATGGCTACTATGACTCCTCTCAGCCTTCTCTTCTTCAGGCTAAACATGCTCAGCTCTTTAAGCTGCTCTTCATAGGGCTTGTTCTCCAGACCCTTGATCATTTTAGTTGCCGTCTGGTCCCTATGTAGACTTGTGCACAGCTGCATGGTATACGGTAGACTCCTGCAGGGGTGAGAGGATCCCTCTTGTCCTTTGCTGAACGTAGCATTTGTTGGATTTTCTTGGTGGGTCTGTAGATAGTTTGTAGGTTGTGTTTCCTCATCAGCTTTCCTATGCGGTCAGTGGTTCCCTTGATGAATGGCATTCCCTTGATGTATGTTTCTTGTGCTGGACAAAGACCATAACAATGAACTATAAAATATACAGATTAATCAAGACCAAAGATATAGAGCACAAAAGACAATAATCAAAATTATTACCAATCTCATATAAAGCGTAAAAACATTTCAAGACCCTGCTCGTCGTTCCCCCATTGTCGCAATCACATCTGGCGGGGACAAGGTATAAGGCCTTTTCTGTGGTGGCCACCTGGCTATGGAACTCCCTCCCGAGTGAAATTAGATCTGCTGCATCCCTCTTGACCTTCCGGAAACAAGAAAAATCCTGACTATGGGATCAGGCCTTTGTAGATTAGGCTGACTTGCTGACGTGTTGATTTATATAGAACTGATGGACTGCCCTTGGATGATGATTTAAACTGATGACCGCTGACTGTTTTTTTTACTGTTTCTGTACTATTTTATACTATTTATACTGTTTTATATTATTATTATATTGCCGTTAAATTGTGTATCTATGTTTTTAATGCGGGCGCCATGGGTTGCTGATTTGTTAGCCGTCCTGAGTCCCTCCGCGGAGGTTGAAATAGGACGGGCTATAAAAGCCCGAAATAAATAAATAAATGTTATGGGTACATTTCTAACATGAACATCAAATCAATATGTTGCGTCTCCATGGCAATTTGTGGCCATATCTGATCCATTCCTCAGTAACGCATCACATTCCCTCTTGCTCTCTCCTTAGGTGTTATATCATCTTCATAAAAAGGTGAAGAATATTTCCAGAAAATCGGAGCGATCAAAGAGAAAGGTATGTAAAAATCTGTTCTAGGTTTCTGTGCTGTTGTTTGTTTTAATTTGCAGGACGTGTTGTGACAAAGGCTGCATCTACACTGTAGAATCAATGCAGTTTGATGCCACATTAATGGTCATGGCTCAATGCTGTAGGAATCATAGAATCAAAGAGCTGGAAGAGACCTCATGGGCCATCAAGTCCAACCCCCTGCCAAGAAGCAGGAATATTGCATTCAAATCATCCCTGACAGATGGCCATCCAGCCTCTGTTTAAAAGCTTCCAAAGAAGGAGCCTCCACCACACTCCGGGGCAGAGAGTTCCATTGCTGAACAGCTCTCACAGCCAGGAAGTTCTTCCTCATGTTCAGATGGAATCTCCTTTCTTGTAGTTTGAAGCCATTGTTCCATTGCGTCCTAGTCTCCAGGGAAGCAGCAAACAAGCTTTCTCCCTCCTCCCTGTGGCTTCCTCTCACATATTTAAACATGGCTATCATACCTCCTCTCATCCTTCTCTTCTTCAGGCTAAACATGCCCAGCTCCTTAAGCCTAGGGCTTATTCTCCAGACCCTTGATCATTTTAGCTGCCCTCCTCTGGACACATTCTATGAAACCAAACAAAAGGGAGAGGAGGCGGAGTAGCCGTATATGTCAAAAACTGTTATGCTGCAGAAGAGATTCAAGAGAACATCCATCTCCTCTGGGAAATGTACCAAAGGGCCCTCCCAGACAGGCCCTATATCCCAGGATCTGATCCCCAGGTTTTCTGTTTATCCCAGAGTAGCTGTCTCCTGCCACACGTTGCTGTGGCCCAGTCTGTGTATACGTGTTCTGTGTGTGTGTGTGTATGTGTGGTTTTGCACATGCGTTGTAATTTTTGTTTGTTTTTTACTTTTAAAGTCTGTTCCGCTGTGTTTTTCAGTGTTTTTATGAGTGATGGTCACTTGTTGGCCTGAGAGGTGTATTGTATCCAAATTTGGTGGAGGAAAGAGAGAAGGGAGGAAAGACAAAAGGGAAGGAGAAAGAGGGGGAAAGAGGAAGGAAAGAGGGAAGGATGAAAGGGTGAAAGGGAAGGAAGGAGGGAGGGAAAAAGAGGGAGGTGAGGGAGGGAGGTAAGGGAGGAGGAAAGAGAGAAGGGAGGAGGGACAAAAGGAAAGGAAGGAGAAAGAGATGGGGAAAGAGGAAGAAAAGAGGGAAGGGTGAAAGGATGAAAGGGAAGGAAGGAAAGAGGGGAAAAGAGGGAGGGAGGAAAGAGAGAAGGGAGGAAAGACAAAAGGGAAGGTAGGAAGGAGAGAGGGAGAAAGAGGAAGGAAAGAGGAAAGGATGAAAGGGTGAAAGGGAAGGAAGGAAGGAGGGGAAAAGAGGGAGGGAGGGAGGAAAGAGAGAAGGGAGGAAAGACAAAAGGGAAGGTAGGAAGGAGAGAGGGAGAAAGAGAAAGGAAAGAGGGAAGGATGAAAAGTTGAAAGGGAAGGAAGGAAGAAGGGGAAAAGAGGGAAGTGAGGGAGGGAGGAAAGACAAAAGGGAAGGTAGGAAGGAGAAAGAGAGGGGGAAAGAGGGAAGGATGAAAAGGTGAAAGGGAAGGAAGGAAGGAAGGAAGGAAGGAAGGAAGGAAGGAAGGAAGGAAGGAAGGAAGGAGGGAAATAGAGGCAGGCAAGGGAGGGAGGGAGGGAGGGAGGGAGGGAGGAAAGGGAGAAGGGAGGAAAGACAAAAGGGAAGGAAGAAAGGAGAAAGAGAGGGGGAAAGAGGAGGGAAAGAGGGAAGGGTGAAAGGGTGAAAGGGAAGGAAGGAGGGAGGGAGAGAGGGAGGGAGAAAGAGGGAGGAAAGGGAGGGAGGGAAGGAGGGAGGAAAGAGAGAAGGAAGGAAGGACAAAGGGGAAGGAAGGAGAAAGAGAGGGCAAAAGAGGAAGGAAAGAGGGAAGAATGAAAGGGTGAAAGGGGAGAAAGAGGGAGAGGAGGGAGGGAAGGAGGAAGGAAGCAAAGAGGGAAGGAAGGATAGGATAGGATGGTGTGAGAGAGGAGGGTCTGAGGAAAGAGCCCAAAGGGGTTCAGCCTCCGGGCCTGGGTTTGCCCACACCTGAGCTAGGGGATAATGGGCTAGAGTCTTGCTCTGCCTATTCAGCTCAGGCAAAAGCAAACTGCTGCGACCTCTCCAAGTTTGTGTGTTCTTCCTCAATTGCCATCTTAACCACACTGATGTTTCTGGATCACAAGAATCTTTGTTTTCCCCTGTGACATGTTGGGAGGATAGCTGGGCTGGGGGATTCTGAGAGTTGCAATAGCATGGTCAAGGGATTCTTGCAGCTTGGTGTACATAACATCGGGCAATGTAAATCACAGATCCCACCCCCTAATATTCCCATTTTCATTTGTGTCATGTTGGGGAGATGTTATGTGAGAGATTTTGCCTGATGTTTTGCACCTGTTCCCTATTAACTGAATAATGGGTGCAGCAATTTTTTGAAAATTTGAAACTATTAGTACAAGCGATGATCCCTTGGCTGTGTAATGCTTAGACCTTAGATCCCTAGGCTGACAGCCATGATGAAAAGAACGTTTTGTTCTTGCAAAGCAATCTTATGCAACTCAAGTAACTATGAGAGAGGCATGTGATTAAAACAATTTACTCCAATATGTATTGAATCTGGAATCAATTTTTCATTTGGGGCATAGCATCTTCTGAGATAGCCCACTTGACTTTGTCTTCCCTGGTCATTAACTTTTCAATGCGTGCTCCTGTCGTAATGTGACCTACATTATAATACCATAATTACAGATCTTAACCCACTATTATTTTTATTTAGATGATGGAGAGGAGAAATAGAGATGGGAACCGAGGAGACAGAGAGAGCGCACATTCTGCACAGCTCTGGTGTACATTAGAGGAGCCTTTCTCTCTCTAGCACCCTTCAGATGTACTGCACTACAATCCCATTACCCAAACCAATATGGAGATAGGATATTGTAACCCAGTACATCTGGACATACACCCCCCCCTCCGGTGCCTCAGTGGGTTAAACCACTGATTTGTTGAACTTGCTGACTAAAAGGTTGGTGGTTTGAATCCAGGGAGCGGGGTGAGCTCCTGCTGTTAGGTCCAGCTTTTGCCAACCAAGCAGTTCAAAACATGCAAATGTAAATAGATCAATACTGTTACCTTGCGGGAATGTAACAGTGCTCCATGTAGTTATACCGGCCACATGACCTTGCAGGTGCCTATGGACAATGCTGGCTCTTCTGCTTAGAAATTGAGATGAGCACCACCCACCAGAGTCAGACACATTTAGACTTAATGTCAGGAGAAACCTTTACCTTTACTTACATCTGGAGGATATAATTTTTATATATATTTGTATGGTTTATTGGATTTAATTTATTGGATATACTGTATGTTCATATGTTTTTGACTTTGTAGTACTCCACCTTGAGCTATCAGGAGAGGCAGGTAATAACTAAAATGTTTTATTATTAGTGTTATCATCATTATTATTGTACTAGCCGTCCCCTGCCACGCGTAGCTGTGGCCATCATGGGGGTTCTGTGTGGGAGGTTTGGCCCAATTCTATCGTTGGTGGGGTCCAGAATGCTCTGTGATTGTAGGTGAACTATAAATCCCCGCAACTACAACTCCCAAATGTCAAGATTCTATTCTCCCCAAACTCCACCAGTGTTCACATTTGGGCATTGAGTCTTTGTGTAGAGTTTGGTCCAGATACATCATTGTTTGAGTCCACAGTGATCTCTGGATGCAGGTGAACTACAACTCCAAAACCAAAGGACACTGCCCACCAAACCCTTCCAGTCTTTTCTGTTGGTCATGGAAGAACTGTGTGCCAAGTTTGGTTCAGTTCCATCATTGGTGGGGTCCAGAATGCTCTTTGATTGTAGGTGAACTATAAATCCCAGCAACTACAACTCCCAAATGGCAAAATCAATTTTTTGAGTGAAGGACATACATTGGGTTGTTAGGTGCCATGTGTCCAAATTTGGTGTCAATTCCCCCAGTGGTTTTTGAGTTCTGTTAATCCCACAAATGAATAGTACATTTTTATTTATATAGATAAGCTATAGCAGTGGTTCCCAACCTGTGGTCCAAGGCCCATTAGTGGTCTGCAAGAACTAAAATATGGTCCACAGCCTCACCACGACTACACTGTTGCAATGAGAGTGAGTGGTCTCGCAAAACCCTCCTATGGTGCTGAGACTTATTAAATATAGTTTTCTGTGGGCAAGCAGATGGCAACTACTGGATGGCATAAGTTCTGTACCAGAAACTAGAGCGGATGTGGTCTATCGAATGCAATTTTCTGAATCTGTACCCCAAATAACCAAACCCAATCTAAAGTTGACCAAAAAATGATTCGTAACCCTTTATTCAACTGCCAGTGAATGTAGCATATTCATATTTGTCATGGAAACTGTAATTCCTACCTAAATGTTTGTAATTTCAGAACATTATTCAGACATTACATTTCCCCTTATTGTATATTCCCTAACTATTAGGTACAATGTTCAAACCACATTTACTATAGACCAGCGTTTCTCAACCTGGGGGTCGGGACCCCTGGGGGGGTCAAGAGGGGGTGTCAGAGGGATCACCAAAGACCATCAGAAAACACAGTAATTTCTGTTGGTCATGGGGATTCTGTGTGGGAAGTTTGGCCCAATTCTGTTGTTGGTGGGATTCAAAATGCTCTTTGATTGTAGGTGAACTATAAATTCCAGCAACTACAAGTCCCAAATTTCAATATCTATTTTCCCCAAACTCTACTAGTGTTCACATTTATTTATTTAGACCATTTCTACCCCGCCCTTCTCACCCCCGAGGAGGGACTCAGGGCGGCTAACACAGGCAACAATTCAATGCCAACAGTATCAAAACAACAATATAAAACAGCAATATAAAATCCATGACATAACAATTAAACGGTGATATTAATTAAAATTACATAACCAAATAGAACAAATCACATAATCACAGGTCATAAAGCCATTTCCAATTTTCAAACAATCCTATTGTCTGAGTTCAGTGCCTAGAGTGCTGCTGTGCCCACTAGCCAAAGGCCTGGCTCCAAAACCACGTCTTTAGTTTTTGCCTAAAAGTAAGGAGGGAGGACACCGATCTAATTTCACTGGGGAGCCAATTCCATAAGCGGGGGTCACCACCGAGAAGGCCCTGTCCCTCGTCCCCACCAGACGCATTTTAGATGCTGGTGGGACCGAGAGCAGGGCCTCTCCAGTAGATCTTAAATTACAAGGTGTTACGTAGAGAGAGATACGTTCAGATAAGTAAGCTGGGCCGGAGCCGTTTAGGGTTTTATGGGCATATTTAATAAGTCGCAGCACCATTTGGGCATATTGAGTATTTGTGCCAAGTTTGGTCCAGATCCATAGTGGATGTAGGTAAACTACATCTCTGGATGTAGCTGAACTACAACTCCAAAACTGAATGTCAATGCCCACCAAACCTTTCCAGTATTTTCTGTTAGTCATGGGAATTCTGTGCGCCAAGTTCAATTCCATTGTTGGTGGAGTTCAGAATGCTCTTTGATTGTAGGTGAACTATAAATCCCAGCAACTACAACTCCCAAATTTCAATATCTATTTTCCCCAAACTCCACTAGCGTTCACATTTGGGCATATTGGGTATTTGTGCCAAGTTTGGTACAGATCCATCATTGTTTGAATCCATAGTGGATGTAGGTGAACTACAACTCCAAAAATCCAGAGATGTAGGTGAACTACAACTCCAAAACTGAATGTCAATGCCCACCAAACCCTTCCAGTATTTTCTGTTGGTCATGGGAGTTCTGTGCACCAAGTTTGGTTGAATTCCATTGTTGGTGGAGTTCAGAATGCACTTTGATTGTAGGTGAACTATAAATCCCAGCAACTACAATTCCCAAATGACAAAATCACCCCCCCCCCCAAAGCACACCAGTATTCAAATTTGGGTGTATTGGGTCCAGTGAAGGAAAATCCATCCTGCATATCAGATATTTACATTACGATTCAGAACAGTAGCAAAATGACAGTTATGAAGTAGCAACGAAAACAATATTATGGTTGGGGGTCACCACAACATGAGGAACTGTATTAAGGGGCCGCGGCTTTAGGAAGGTTGAGGGAAACTGCTATAGGTCATTTTGAAAGTCTTCCCCCACCCTTCCTTTCTAGACAGCCCAGACGGTGCTCCTTGTGGTTGCTGTGTTCATGATCTCCTGGCTCCCGCACCACATCATCACCATGTGGGCCGAGTTTGGGCATTTTCCCCTCAACAACGCCTCCTTCATCTTCCGCATCATCTCTCACTGCTTAACCTATGGAAATTCGTGCATCAACCCCATCATCTACGCTTTCCTGTCAGAGAATTTCCGGAAATCCTGCCAGCAAGTCTTCACCTGCAAGTTCCTCCTTCAGCCGGCCCCTGCGGAGAAGCTAGTGAGGATTCGCATGGAGAACTTTTCCACCAGTCACTCAACAACCAATGTTTAAAACTGGAAGCCAGAGCGTGGTGGAGAAAAACGGAGATGGAATCCAAAAAGGATGCAAATGAATTCACCTAACTCATTGGATGGCCATTCTAGTTAATCATGTAAGCAACCTATTTATCATTGCCACCTTTGAGGCCCTTTTACACTTGTCAGGACAGCCTTATAAAGATGCGTCCAACATTGCACAAAAGGGAAGCCATCTAAGCTGCTTTCTACACACCAAGCTGTATCTGCATGCATTTGCCACTGATTGTGAGGTTTCGTGACTCGTGGAATGATCTCCATGCATCACATGAGTCTATTTTGCAGGGACTGAGAACTGGGAAGTGTTGAGAGTAGGAAACACAGCTAAAATAATGTCTCCTAAAATTGCTACTGTACATTGATTGCACTAAAGATCTACCTTCATCTCCACAAAGATGCTTTCAGTTACTTGTGAGTGGTGTTCTTGACTGCATCATAGACTTTGGGGTTGCACTTTGCCTAAAAAGAAAAACGAGAGTTGAACGGCTGCATCTGAATTGCATTATTCATGTTTGCTGCTTTGCATAATTTATTCTCCATTTTTAATCAAAGAAATTCAAGTTTGAGTGGTTGTGGGAAGGAGCTACATGGGACAACCAAACCACACTTTCACATACTGTCACAATATCAGGGCTCTGACAATATTTAGGCAGAGATGAACCAAACTCCCAGTTTGTGTTAAACAATTTAATTAAAGCAGCACTTACTTTCTGGCTGTTTTAATAGTCCAAAACACAAAACAGAAAGATAGCACTGAGCCACAGAATATAAAACAAAACTGTCAGCAAACGCTGTTGTAGGTTCAAGAGAACACCATAGTCAAAAGGTCCAGTCCAGTGGTCAAATGCTGAGAGTTCAACGAACAAAGTCCAGGAATCAAGAGTTTATACCAGGGGTCCTCAAACTTTTTAAACAGAGGGCCAGGTCACAGTCTCTCAGACTGTTGGAGGGCCGGATTATAATTTGAAATCATGAATGTATTCCTATGCACACTGCACATATCTTATTTGTATTGCAAAAAACACTTTAAAACAATACAATAATTAAAATGAACAATTTTATCAAATATAAACTTATTAGTATTTCAATGGAAAATGTGGGCCTGCTTTTGGCTGATGAGATAGGATCGTTGTTGTTGTGTGCTTTCAAGTTGTTTCAGCCTTAGGTTGACCTTGAGCAGTGGCCGTATCTGGCCCCCGGTCCTTAGTTTGAGGATCCCTGGTCTATACTGTAGTCAGAAGCCAGTCCAAAGATTCAAGGTTCCAGGGTTTAGGAAACAGGTCAGGATACCGAAAATCCACAAACTCCCGGGGAAGGGGGGGAACCAGCAGCATCTACCACCAAAATAAGACAAATACTTTTCTCTCGAAGACCAGTCCCAAGGCTAGCTCATTATATCCAGAAACACTCACCTGCATCCTATCTCTTGTATACCTCCACCCTAATCGCTTTCACCCATTAACTCTTACTTACAGATTACTCAACCCTTTACAACTAAGACTTACATTAACCCTTCCATCACCAACTGCTAGGCCTACCACCACCAACCACCAACTGCAGAACATGGTAAATGACACAGACTGGATGTCTTTGGTATCTGCTCGGATTTGGTTCCAGGATTCCCGATTTGTTGTTCCCAAAATTTGTGGATGCTAAATTTCTGCTATATACAATGATGTAGTAACATTGTGTTCCTTGTATACAAAGCTTGCTTTTTGGAATTTTTAAAAGTTTTTTTCCCCAAAAGGTGGATGGTGGAATCTATGGATGCAGAATCTATAAATATGGAGGGACACCTGTATTATAATCGGGGGCCATGGTGGCGCAGCGGGTTAAACCACTAAACTGCAGAACTTATCGGAAGGTCGGTGGTTCAAATCCATGGATGAGATGAGCTCCCATTGTTAGCAACAGCTTCTGCCAACTTAGCAGTTCAAAAACAGAACTCCTGGTGGCACAATGGGTTAAACCCTTGTGCCAGCAGGACTGCTGATCAAGCCAGCGCTTTGAATCCAGGGCGAGCGGGTTAAGCTCCCTCTGTCTGGTCCAGCTCCCCATTCAGAGATATGTGAGAAGCCTCCCACAAGGATGGTAAAACATCAATATCCTGGTGTCCCCTGGGCAACATCCTTGCAGATGGCCAATTCTCTCACACCAGAAGCAGCTTGCTTCGCTCCTGGCACAAAAAAAAGTTTGAAAACATGCAAATGTGAGTAGATCAATAGGTACTGCTTCAGGGGAAGGTAATGGCATTCCATTAAGTCATGCTGGCCACATGGCCTTGGAGGTGGCTACGGACACCAGCTCTTTGGCTTAGAAATTGAGATGAGCATCACACCCCAGAGTCGGACACAACTAGACTTAATGTCAAGGGGAAACCTTTATCTTTTCCTGTATAATATTCTAAAGGTAGGTAAAAGTAGCATCCCACCATTAAGATTATATTATGTATTTTTTCTGTATGTACTGCTTAGGTTTAGATGAGATTGGCCCTTCCACACATTAGAATAAAGGGCTAAGGGCATGATTGATAAATCTATGGACAGCTGGGTGTGCAAGAATTTTTATAAGGACGATTCTGAAGAGATCACTCAGTTCTGACAAAGAATGGTACAAGTAGACTGATCTTGCTGTTTGTTAACAAATAAAGCATTATTTGAAAGTTGAAACTTTTCTTTGAAACCATTGGTTAGCTGGAAAACCTGACATCAACACACTCTTGTATGATTTTAACGCAAATGGTTATAAAATGTCTTTTTATATGACACTTAGAAGAGTAAAGTACTGGCCGCTTGGTTCTCTTAGCAGAGCATTCCACGATGTGAGTGCTACCAATGAAATGATGTCGGACAGCCTACATAAATTCACTTAACTGAGAATTATGAAGAAGTGCCATTGATCCAAATGCAAATTGAGGAGTGTAATAAAAAAAGCAGTCCTTAGGAACCCAGGTTGAAAGTCATTCAGGGATTTAAAGATTAACACTAGAATCTGGGATTGAGTCCAGGAACAAAGCAGGGGCATATGCAGAAAAACCGAAGTACCCGTATATACTCGAGTATAAACTTACCCGAATATAAGCTGAGGCATCTAATTTTACCACAAAAAACTGGGAAAACATCGAGTGTAAGCCGAGGGTGGGAAATGCAGCAGCTACTGGTACATTTCAAAATAAAAATAAGATACCAATAAAATTATATTAATTGAGGCATCAGTAGGTTAAATGTTTTTGAATATTTTCTTAAAACTGTAATTTAAGATAAGACTGTCCGACTCTGATTAAACCATTCTAATCTTCTTCAATGTAAATGTGCTTATGTATCTTTCCAATAATAGAGTAAAATGATAAATGTAATACTAAAATAGATTAAAAGAATAACTGTAATAATAATAATGTCAAATAATAAATGTAATACAAATAATAACAGAATAAAATAGTAGATAACGTTGACTTGAGTATAAGCCGAGGGGGCTTTTTTAGTATTAAAAAAGGGCTGAAAAACCTGCCATATACATGAGTATATACAGTAAATTTAATAGGGTCACAATCAAAATGCCTTGCTGTCATTAAATGTAACTTTTATTGGATTTTTATTGCTTTTTCACAAATTGCAGTTTTCAAATGCTTTTTAGTGTACGATTCTTTTCATCCTACTAAGTGTAGGTTCCTTTTCATTTGAAGCTAGTGTTCTAGCACATACAGGGTGAGGCAGCATAACTTCCTTTTTTGAAATGTGCACCAGTTGGTTGAAGATGTAGCGAAGCGCTAGTGGTCTCGTTAGAGAGGCGGGAGTATAAAGTCCTGACACGTTCAGTCGTCATCCTGCGTTGGAACAGTGAGGAGTGTGCTTTTGCCGTTGAGGCCTACTTTTCGAGCGGATTTGGAGTGGCTAGCCTGCTCTCCAGATTTGGCCCCTTGTGGTTTTTTGAAATCCCGTGTTTATGTGAACCCTCCAAGGACCCTACAAGATTTGAAGACCAACATCCAGGAAGAAACTGCCAACATAACGCCTGCTATGCTGGCAAGAGTCATGACAAACGCCAGAAATCGGTTTACTCAGTGTATGGAGAATGGGGGACGTCACCTACCAAATTTGATCTTCAAAACTACGTAAAACAAAACTTTAGGTATGCGCCTACATTATAAAAAAAAAATCTGATTCATACAAAGGGCTTTATTAAGTTTTGAAAAAAGGAAGTTATGCTGCCTCACGCTGCATTTTCTTTCTCACCGAAAGCTTTAATGGATACCTGATCAAGTTGGCTTGCAAAAGGGTCTATTTCTTTTTTTTAGATGTCTACATGGGTTTTGCAAGGGTTACATAATCAGGCACTGATGCGCGGTGCGCTTTCTCCCCCCCTCAGACAGAATGTGTGGTTTTCATTCTCGGAAACAATAGGCATATTTTTAAAATTCAAAATTCCACATCAAGAGCAATTCATGTTTTATATATTTGCTGTGGTTTTTTATTTGAACATTGGCTTATTTGATCAATAAGAACATAAAAAATGCAGGTCCTTTAAATAGGTCGGGAATTACTTTTTGTTAGAAAAAGCCTTCTGAACGACTGGTTCCAACCCAGGCAAGCGAGTCCTTTTGCGAGCTGCAGTTTCTATCTTCCGGACCAAGTCCACATCCCACCGGTGGGTCACAAAGCTGACTGCCGTCCCAGGGAAGGTGCTGCCTATACGGCCAGCCCGTCCTACCCGATGCAAATAATCATGCAATGTGTGTGGGAAATCATAATTGACTACTAGCTCCACACGAGTGGTGTCCAACCCCCGGGACGCTATGTCAGTGCACACTAAGATATCACAGCGGCCTTTCTGGAAACTGTCAAAGATGTCGGCTCTCATATCGGCCTGCATTTGGCCCTGTAAGCGTAGGTGTTTGATCTTATGGTCATCCAAGATGTAACCAAGCCAGTTGACGGTGCTTGCGCCATTGCAGAAAACCAGCACCGCGCCCGACGTGGGCCCGCGGTCCTTGAGGAGCTGCAACAGCTCAGTCACTTTGTCGCTGCCTTTCAGGCGCATGAATTTTTGCTCCACATGAGGCTGGAGGAAATGCAAGCCGTAACTCGTCACGGTATGGAAGCTGCTGGAGTCAGCCACTTCGCTGAGTAGTTCGCTCAACCCTTTGGGGAGAGTGGCTCCCACCGCAACCACTTGGGTCTTGGGGTCCCAAACATCGCTTGCTTCCTTGCGACTGGAGGCCAGCGGCGTTTGCTGAAGCAGGTCTCGGGCTAAGTCCACGAAGCTGGGGTCCAGTAAGGTGTCTGCTTCATCCAGAACGAGGAAGAGGAGGTGCTCTAAGGATAAGATGTGCCTCCGCAGGGCTTTGCATAAGGCGCCCGGCGTGGCCACGAGGAGGTCGACGGGAACGTCGCGGATCTTCCTCCGTATGCCACCGATGCCCCGCCCACCGCCGATGCCCCGGACTTCCAGGCCCAAAGGGCTGCACAGCCGGGCGGCGACGCTCCTCACTTGCCCCGCCAGCTCTCTGGAAGGCAGGACAACCAAGGAATGAGGGTGGGTCACCCGTCCCATCGTGTGAGGCAAATGGCGGGACGTCAAGAGCCGCTGGACCAAAGGGAGCAGGTAGGCCAAGGTCTTGCCGCTGCCGGTCTCGGCCCCGCAGAGCGCGTTGCTCCCCTTCAAGAGGACAGGGATGGCCCGCTTCTGCACCGGCGAGGGCCGGGAGATGCCCCAAGCGCCTTCCAGAATGGCCACCAGCTGCGGATCCAGGCCCAAGTCTGGGAAGGAGAGGCCTTCTTCGTCGTTCTCTTCCTCCCTCAAGGCTTCCTTCCTGGTGCGTTCCAGCTGGAAGTGGTCTCCTCGGGAAAGGCGGTGCTTCCACCCGTCTGAGACCAAGCGAGGCTTCTCCCAGCGGCCTACAGTCCACCCCAAGGCCTGGCTCAGCTCCTTCCGCCGGCTCCTCAGGAGCAGCTTCCTCTGCTTCCCGCCCAAGGGCTCGGGGCCTTCCTTCCAGGGCTCTGCGGCCTGCTGCTTCTCCTCCAGGCGGCGCCTCCAGGCCTCAGGGATCCGCACCACCTCCAAGGCCGCCTCCTCGGAGCTGCAGCCACGCGAGGCCGGGGGAAACCAGGCCAAAGCGGGCCTTCGGAGGAGAAGAAGCGCCGCCATGAGCTCAGAAAGGAGCACAAGGCCGCGCTTGCTGATGACGCCACCACCTCTCGCCTTGCTGTGTGGAAAGGAACGTGCGTGACGTCAGAGGGAGAGAGAGTTAGAGAGAATAGAAAAAGAGTTAGAGCGACACTTCCGGGAATCATGCGACACCGAATGAGTTAGAGAGCTAGAGAGCTAGAGAGTATAGAGAATGAGCTAGAGCGACACTTCCGGGAATCGTTCGACACCCTGAGAGAGATTGATAATTTCTTCCTAAACGAAAATTCCATTCGAAAGCGCGGCTAAAACATATCAAAACAGAAAGATATATAGAACTTAATTATTGTTATTAAAAGATAGGCTTCTCCGACATTGAAAATGAGGAGGAAAGGCCTTTCCCTCATAGTTCCTACCTCTGAGGGCGACAAAAGGTGGGTGTGCGCTGCGTGGTGACGTCACCACACAGCGCCTGCCCGGAGACGTCACGGCGGGCTGTTCGCCGGGCAGAGAGCGCATGCGCAGAGGAATAGGAACGTGGAGAGCAGAGAGGCGGTGAGTTGAAGGAGGAGGAAGATGGGGACTGGCGCTTCAGGGCCTGGTCTTGAGCGCCTTCAAGGGAGCTAGGCCTCGGCCTCCTGGGAGATGTAGTTCCAGCCTCATCAGCCCCAGGCCTTGAGCCTCCAACTCTGCCCAAACACCTGAGGGTTGAAGAGGCCTAGTCGACAAGGAATGACACTCCCACAGATACTTTCATTCCTCCAGGATGGGGCATCCTGGGATCTGTAGTTTCACAAGCCTCCTTATCGTATTGAGAAATATCAGTCCCTTTTCAAGCATGGAGAGGTACTATCCTGTCAGAAGCGAATTGAGAATATAGAATCAAAGAGTTGGAAGAGACCTCATGGGCCATCCAGTCCAACCCCATTCTGCTAAGAAGCAGGAATATTGCATTCAAATCACCCCTGACAGATGGCCATCAGCCTCTGTTTAAAAGCTTCCAAAGAAGGAGCCTCCACCACACTCCGGGGCAGAGAGTTCCACTGCTGAACAGCTCTCACAGTCAGGAAGTTCTTTCTCATGTTCAGATGGAATCTCCTTTCTTTTAGTTTGAAGCCATTATTCCTTGTCCTAATCTCCATGGAAGCAGAAAACAAGCTTGCTCCCTCCTCCCTGTGACGACTTCTCACATATTTATACATGGCTATCATATCTCCTCTCAGCCTTCTCTTCTTCAGGGCTAAACATGCCCAGCTCTTTAAGCCGCTCCTCATAGGGCTTGTTCTCCAGACCCTTGATCATTTTAGCCGCCCACCTCTGGACACATTCCAGCTTGTCAATATCTCTCTTGAATTGTGGTGCCCAGAATTGGACACAATATTCCAGGTGTGGTCTAACCAAAGCGGAATAGAAGGGTAGCATTACTTCCCTAGATCTAGACACTATGCTCCTATTGATACAGGCCAAAATCTCATTGGCTTTTTTTTTGCAGCCATATCACATTGTTGGCTCATGTTTAACTTGTTGTCCACGAGGACTCCAAGATCTTTTTCACACGTACTGCTCTCGAGCCAGGCATTGTCCCCCATTCTGTATCTTTGCATTTCGTTTTTCCTGCCTAAGTGGAGTATCTTGCATTTGTCACTGTTGAACTTCATTTTGTTAGTTTTGGCCCATCTCTCTAATCTGTCAAGATCGTTTTGAATCCTGCTCCTGTCCTCTGGAGTATTGGCTATCCCTCCCAATTTGGTGTCGTCTGCAAACTTGATGACCATGCCTTCTAGCCCTTCATCTAAGTCATTAATAAAGATGTTGAACAGCACCGGGCCCAGGACGGAACCCTGTGGCACTCCGCTCGTCACTTCTTTCCAGGATGAAGAGGAAGCATTGGGGAGAATCACCCTCTGGGTTCGTCCATTTAACCAATTACAGATCCACCTCACCATAGTTTTGCCTAGCCCACATTGGACTAGTTTCCTTGCCAGAAGGTCATGGGGGACCTTTGACTATGCAGATCTTTGTTGCCAGTGTAATATCTCTACTCTTCACTATTTTATCAAGATTGGACATTGCTCTCCTTCCAAGAAGTAAGTGTCTCCTGATTTCCTGGCTGCAGTCTGCATCTGCAGTAATCTTTGCACCTAGAAATACAAAGTCTGTCACGGCCTCCACATTTTCTCCCTCTATTTTCCAGTTGTCAATCATTCTTGTTGCCATAATCTTGGTTTTTTTTAAATGTTTAGCTGCAACCCGGCTTTTGCGCTTTCTTCTTTCACCTTGATTAGAAGGCTCCTCAGCTCCTCCTCGCTTTCGGCCATCAAAGTGGTGTCATCTGCATATCTAAGGTTGTTAATGTTTCTTCCAGCAATTTTCACCCCAGCCTTGCATTCGTCAAGTCCCGGACATCGCATGATGTGTTCTGCATACAAGTTGAATAGGTTGGGGGAGAGGATACAATCCCACATTTCTGTTTTGAACTGGATTATATGGCAGTGCGGACTCAGCTAATCCAGTTCAAAGCAGATATTGAGGAATTTTCTGCCTTGATATTCTGGGTTATATGACTGTGTGGAAGGGCCCTAAGTGATCAACTTCTTCCAGTCTTGTATCTTATGTGAAGTAGCCAACCAGACTAGGATTGAGCCATGATTGTATTTAGGACAACAATAAACTATAGTTAACCCAAACTGAGATTTTTCAGTTAAAGCATGGTTTCAGATAAATAACTCTGTGTTGTGGCTGAACTATTTTCTGACAATGAGGATAATGGGATTCGGATTCCTGCTAGGATTCAGCTTCCTGGCCCTTTGTCTGTGCCTCAAATCTCTGAGCCTGCTTCTGAGGCTCTCACAGTTCAGTGTCAACACAGCCGTTTTCACCAGAAAGGAATTTTAACGAAGGAGATAGCGAGCAGGTGCCTTCCCACGCTGATACCGAAAATGTAAATAGTGACTTGACCCAGGAAGCTCACCTTGATCTCCGGGTCAGGCGGAGTTCGCGTCTGGCAAGCAGATGAGAAGCCAGCTCAGTGAAAGGTCGTTGCAGTGCTTTTATGATGCTGAGAGCCTAATGTTTTGATGTTGGAAAGGTATTTAGGCCTCTTGGAAACTCTGTGAAAGCGTCAGTTCAACGTAGCTTACTAGCCTGAAAGCTTCATGGAATAATCTCAGCCTGGAAAGCTGTACGCTTGGGATTTCTTGCATGGTGATTCATGGGGCAATTGTTTCATTGCTTGTACCTGGAACTCTGGTTTGAACTTTGCCAATAGGATTATGTCTCCTGTTTTTACCTGAAGATCTTTGGAACTATATTCTGCTTTTAACCTTAATTTGTGGAATTTTGCAATGCTTATTCTTTATTTTGACTTGGATTTTCTCCTCAATAAACTATAAAACTACAGCTCATGTGTGGTGGTGTTTGGCAGCAAGGTGAAGCTTACTCTCAGTTGCAACACCCTGGACTAGAAGATGACTGAATTTAGAAGTAAGCACAGCTTTAGAAACAAATTGCCTTTGAGCTAAAACGTGGTGGTTTAGCACAGCATCCAAACCAGGCCTTTGTGTTATTGTTCTCAAGAGAACCGCAGCAATTTTTCAACACAAAAATGTAAAAATATTGTATTTTTAGTTCTTTTCTTATTGTTTTTTCAGGCAATCCAGATGACAGTGAACACCACTTCCCTCTGTTTCCAAAACAAGGCCATATTGGCTCCAATGGTGCGGGTGGGGACCCTGCCAATGCGGCTCCTGGCTCTGGATTATGGTGCTGATATTGTTTACTGTGAGGTAAAGTGGCATGAAAATATTTTCCTTTTTTCACATCTTCAAAAATGCCATATTCTCTGATTAATATCCCAGCATTAATAACTTCCCAAGTGAGACACATAGGCCCCTTCTACACTGCCATGTAATATAGATTATCAAAGCATATAATCCACATTATCTGCTATGAGTCTACACTGCCATATAATCCAGATTATCAAAGCAGATTTGGATTTTATATGGCAGCGTAGAAGGGGCCTCAAGAGAGTATTCTTTGTGGTTGGCTGTGATACATTTTGACTTTTCCTCATCAGATTAACACCATGTTTCATGACCTGTGTTTGTCTCGTAGATGACAAGTGATCTGAGAGGCATTTCAAAATGTTTTACTGGTCAACTATACATTTATTTTATTTGAACATCCATATTTTTTATTGGGAACCCATGGTTTGCATTTTTCAGAAAAAAAACAGAACTGGAAGATTTCCACCAAAATTGTGAATTTTCTCCAATTCCCTGCATAATGAGATCTGATTTAGCACATTTGGTTTCAGTGTTATATTTCAACACATCCAAAGCTTTATGTGGGAATTGTTTTATTAGAATTCAGTTTGAGAATCTTCTGTGGCATTTCTGTCTCAGGCTCTCTCTGTGTGATTTTTTTAAACTCTTCGTTGTTTTTCTTTCAGGAATTGATTGACATAAAGATGGTTCAATGCAAGAGGATTGTGAATGGCAAGTATTGTCTTACTTAAATTAGTAATTTCCCCCCTTTTTATTTTTTTCTAAAGATGATTCCTTATGGAAGTCAGTAGTTTCCCACAACTGTATTTATTTTATATGTCATTTCTATTGAAAAGTGTATCCAAGATTACATTTAGGAGTAAGTAACTGTCTTTATAACCCAGTGGTTCCCAACCTGTGGTCTGTGGACCACTAGTGGTCCGCAAGAACAAAAATATGGTCTGCAGCCTCACTATTACTACACCATTACAACAAGAGCGACTGGTCTCATGAAACCCTCTTATAGTACCGAGGCATATTAAATATGGTTTTCTGTGGGTAAGCAGATGGCAACTACTGGATGCCATAAGTTCTGTATCAGAAACTAGAGCTGATGTGGTCTATTCAATGCAATTTTCTGAATCAGCATCCCAAATAACCAAACCGAAACTCAACTTGACCAAAAACTGATTTACAGGGTGCAGCAGCATAACTTCCTTTTTTAAAATGCGTGCCATTCAGTCGCTTGAAGACGTAATGGAGCACTAGTGGTCTCGTTTGAGAGGCGGGAGTATAAAGTTTTGTCCTGACACTGTTCAGTAGCCATCATGTGTTGGAACAATGAGGAGCGTGCTTTTGCTGTTGAGGCCTACTTTTCAAGCGGATGTTCTGTGATTGCAACCCAGCGTGCCTTTCGGAATTGCTTTAATTTAGCCCCAATGGCCCCTGTCCCGGACCGGAAATCAATTGTGACGTGGGTCACTACATTCAGACAAACTGCAAGTGCGATAAGACAAAGAACTGGAGTCCTTCAGCCCATGAGATGACCTGAGAACATTGAGGCAGTGAGAGCTTCAATGTTGCAAACATGCGCCTGCCTTCAGACTTTCCGATCGTTCTGTGAGAAGAATTCTTCACGATGATCTTCATTTCCATCCTTACAAGATGGCAATTGTGCAGGAACTTTCTGAACGTGACTTCAATTCTCGGAGGAACGCGTGTGAGGTTCGTCTCGAAGTCGTTCCTGAGGATGCTAATTTTTTTTTTACTGATGAAGCCCATTTTCATTTGTGTGGATCTGTCAACAAACAAAACATGCGCTACTGGGCTGACAACAATCCTCGAGAATTGCATCCAAGGCCTTTGCATTCACCTAAAATCGGAGTGTGCTGTGCAGTTTCCTCAGCTGGAATTATTGGTCCCTGGTTCTTTGAGGAAAATGAAGTTGCAGTGACAGTGAATTCAAACCGGTATGTAAACATGTTACAGGAATTTTTTTTTCCACGGCTAGAGGGGTTGGACTTAGGGGACATTGGGTTCCAACAAGACGGTGCAACTGCACACACTTCAAGAGCATCGATAGCTGTTTTGAGGGAACACTTCCCAGAGTGCCTCATCCCAATTAGGGGGGATTTGGAGTGGCCGGCCCGCTCTCCAGATTTGGCCCCTTGCGATTTTTTTCTCTGGGGTTTTTTGAAATCTCGTGTTTATGTGAACCATCCAAGGGCCCTACAAGATTGGAAGACCAACATCCAGGAAGAAATTGCCAACATAACGCCTGCTATGCTGGCAAGAGTCATGGCAAATGCCAGAAATCGGTTTACTCAGTGTATGGAGAATGGGGGACGTCACCTAACTAATTTGATCTTCAAAACTACGTAAAACAAAGCTTTAGGTATGTGCCTACATTATATAAAAAAATTCTGATTCAAACAATGGGTTTTATTAAGTTTTGAAAAAAGGAAGTTATGCTGCTGCACCCTGTATAACCCTTTTGGTACTAATGTTGGAGAGTGGTCCCTGGTCAAAAAAAGATTAGGAACCACTGCTATAACCTCAGTGAATAGCTATTTAATTACTTAATTAGTTAAAGCGCAAAAACTGCAATTTGTCCTGTAATGTGTGGACGGTTTTTGCTATTCAAATATTTAAAATTTTAAGGAGTTACCTTCTTTTGCAATATGTGAGGTCAAATAGGCAAGTTGTCTTAAGTTTCCGTTTCTGTGGACACTTTTATTTCCATTCAGTAATTGAATTACTGACCCTGTTTCATATAATGTTTTAAAATGTTTTTACTGTTTTAATTGTAATTCTTATGGTATATATGTTGTTAGCATTGTTGATGCCTATGTGAGGCCGCCCTGAGCCCCCCTTGTGGGGAGAAGAGCGGGATAGAAATGCACGAAAATAAATAAATAAATAAATAATGTTGTGAAGATGTGCAGGGGCTATTTAGACGAGGAAGGGAATTTAACCTGGTGATTTTAAAAATAATAATAATAATATTACGACTTTGCACAAGCCAGTAAAGGTGGTCCCAGTGGTGATCAGCACACTGGATGCAGTGCCTAAAGACCTTGGCCTGCACCTAAATGAAATTGGCGCTGACAAAATTACCTGCAGAAGGCCACCTTACTGGGATCTGCACGCATCATTCGCCGACACATCACACAGTCCTACACGCTTGGGAAGTGTCTGACGTGTGATCCAATACAACAGCTAGCAGAGTGATCTTGTCTGTTGTGGACTCATCTTGTTGTGTTTCAAATTATAATAATAACAACAACAACAACAACTTTATTTATATCCAACTCTATCTCCCCAAAGGGACTCAGGGCGAAGTCCAAACATAAAAGGCAAACATTAAATGCCCGAATACAACAACAATACCTAAAGACCTTGGCCTGCATTTAAACTCAATTGGCACTGACAGAATTACCATCTGTCAGCTGCAAAATGCCACCCTACTTACCTGCATGCATTATTCGCCAATCCATCACACAGTCCTAGACACTTGGGAAGTGTCCGACGTGTGATCCAATACAACAGCCAACAGAGTGATCTTGTCTGCTGTGGACTCATCTTGTTATGTTTCTAATAATAATAATATCCTACATCTTTGTAGACAAATTCTGAGCATTTCTTCCAGTATTCAACATTTTTAAAAAAAATATATCACATTATAATGTTCTGTTGTTGACAGATGGAAAATAGAATGGCATCTCCTGGAGGAAATTTACATAATTTGTAGCCAGGGAAAACTATCTGAAATTGCTTATCCATAGCAGCAATAAATGGCCAGTAAGGGTAAAGGTTTCCCCTTGACATTAAGCCTAGTTGAGTCTGACTCTGGAGGTTGGTGTTCATCTCCATTTCTAAGCTGAAGAGCCGGCATTGTCCATAGATGCCTCCCAAGGTCATGTGGCTGACATGACTGCGTGGAGCGCTGTTACTTTCCTGCAGGAGGGGTACTTATTGATCTACTCACATTTCAATGTTTCGAACTACAAGGTTGGCAGAAGCTGGGGTTAACAACGGGAGCTCACCCCGTCCTGCAGATTCGAACCATTGGTCTTACAGTCAGCAAGTTCTGCAGCTTAGCGGTTTAATCTGCTGCACCACCGTGGCCCCATTTAGAATAAAACAAATGGCTATTCTTCTCAAATTATATGGTGCAAAAAATCATGCGATATATTAATATCTCTTTCCTGAAGATTAAAACTCAAGCTATTCAAGATCGTTCAAGTTATTATTTTTGAAATCTAATTGTGCCAAAATGTACCGTCGTTGTGCTAATCTAACAAATATTATGCAAACTGAATTGGAAAAAAGGGAACCTAATGTCCATTTTTTAAAACACTCTGTCAACAAAACATTTTTATTTTGAAGATGTTAGAATTTATATAGTCTGTGAATGAAAATATGAATTACCGTATATAATAATAATAATAATAATAATAATAATAATAATAATCTTTATTTGTACCCTGCTACCATCTCCCCAAGGGACTCGGGGTGGCTTACATGAGGCCAAGTACATCAAACAAAACATCAATAAACACAACATCAATAAACAATCAATAAAATACAAATCATATAAATCACATAAACAAAAAACAATCAATAGTAACATAACAATTTTAAAAATGGCCGGGCCAAATGTAATAGATTAAAATTGAAAATATACTGACGTGAACAAGGTAAAATATAACTAGGATAGGATTTTTCGGGGAGAAAAATACTCGAATATAAGCGGACCCCAATATAAACCGAGGCACCCAATTTTACCACAAAAACTGGGAAAATGTATTGACCCAAGTATAAGCCAAGGGTGGGAAATACAACAGCTACTGGTCAGTTTCAAAATAAAAACAGATACCAATAAATTTACATTAATTGAAGCATCAGAAGGTTAAATGTTTTTGAATATTTACATAACACTAATTTAAGATAAGACTGTCCAACTCTGATTCTAACCTTCTTCAACATAAATGTGCCTATGTATCCTTCCAATAAGAATAAAGAGAGTAACATAATGTAATAATAATAATAATAATAATAATAATAGAGTAGAATAATGGAAATGTAATAATAACAGTAATAATAGAGTAAAATAATAAATGTAATAATGAGTGAAATAATAAATGCAATAATAAATAGAGTAAAATAATACATGTAATAAAAATAATAATAACAGAGTAAAATATTAAATAACGTTGACCCAAGTATAAGCCGAGAGGAACTTTTTCAGCCTATAAAAACGGCTGAAAAACTAGGCTTATACTCGAGTATATACAGTACTTTTCTTCATGCATGCTTCCCTTAATGCATTTCCTCTTTGCTTCTCTGTCCTGCAGAAGTGCTTGGAACAGTCGACTTCGTTGCTCCCAATGAAAGAGTGGTGTTTAGGACCTGTGAAAAGGAAAAAGACAGTGTTGTCTTTCAGATGGTAAGAAATAACTTGCAATTGGTTTCCTACCAAGAAAATAGGATGCATAATATGTCCAATTGGAGGGTTGAGCTCCCAAAGCCAAATCCAGCGGATCTTCATACAGGTTCATTGGGAAAGAAATTGAATGGCCATATGTCCTACTTTTAGAGGATCTCTGCTTGAAGCAATGTCGGAGCACAGACCAGTATTTGATAGGTTGTCTAGTACAATACCCTAATTCTGTCTGATTTGGAAACTAAGCCAAGTCACCTCTGGCTAGTACTTGGATGGGAGACCATCAACAAATGAAAGGTGTGTTGTTGAAGGCTTTCATGGCTGTAATCACTGGGTTGCTGTGAGTTTTTGCAGTCTGAATGTTCCATGTTCCAGAAGCATTCTCTCCTGATGTTTCGCCCACATCTGTGGAAGGCATCCTCAGAGGTTGTGAGATCTGTTGGAGACTAGGAAAATGTATATGAAAATATATATTGATGTAATATGTTGTTCGGGCTTAGCCCCATCTAAGCTGCTCCAAGTCCTCATCGTGGAGATGATGGCGGGGTTATAAATAAAGATTATTATTATTATCATCATCATCATCATCATCATCTAATTCATTCTGTTGCAACACAGGAGAAAACCATGAAAATGAACAAAATCTGGCTATCAGTATTAAAAATCCACCAGAATCAAGAAGCTAAATAAAGAGCAACACTCAAAAAACAGGGGATTCTACATGGGATTCAATCATGGTCAGCTAATACCTCCCAACAAAGGATTCCCCCAGGCAGCAACCAGCCAGGCTTTGAAGCTGCAAGGCTATTCAACGCTAATCAAGGTGGCCAATTGCAACATTCATACTTCCCTCTAGCAGAGAAGCGTACTTTCTATATAATAATAGCCACTGTCTGTCTATATATGTTGTGTGTCTATTGTATATACATATATTTATAACATTATAATGTAATGCAATATAATACTATTAATAATAATATGATACTATTATTATATATTTATATTACATTTAATATTGCTAATAATGTTACAATATAATTGGTATAGTACAATATAGCAATATTTAAAACAGATATTGTATTATAGTAATATAATATATTGTTTGTATATATAACTTGTAAGCCACTCTGAGTCCCCTTCGGGGTGAGAAGGGCGGCATATAAATGCCACAAATAAATAAATAAATAAATAAATAAATAAATAAATAAATAAGGCATTGAATGTTTATTTATTTATTTATTTATTTGCGGCATTTATATGCCGCTCTTCTCACCCCAAAGGGGACTCAGAGTGGTAGCCAGATTTTGTTCATTTTCATGGTCTCCTCCTTTCTGTTGAAATTGTCCACATGCTTGTGGATTTCAATGGCTTCTCTGTGTAGTCTGACATGATGAGGAAACACAACATACAAACCACCTACAGACCCACCAAGAAAATCCAACCAATGCTCCGTTCAGCAAAGGACAAGAGGGATCCTCTCACTTCTGCAGGAGTCTACCGTGTACCATGCAGCTGTGGACAAGTCTACAGAGGGACCACCAAACGCAGCAGCATTGCCCAAACACGAATCAAGGAACATGAAAGGCACTGCAGACTACTTCAACCAGAGAAGTCAGCCATAGCAGAGCACCTGATGAACCAACCTGGACACAGCATATTATTTGAGAACACAGAAATGCTGGACCACTCCAACAACCACCATGTCAGACTATACAGAGAAGCCATTGAAATCCAAAAGCATGTGGACAATTTCAACAGAAAGGAGGAGACCATGAAAATGAACAAAATCTGGCTACCAGTATTAAAAAACTCTAAAATTACAACAGCAAAACAACAGAGAGGAAACAAACAAGGACATCGAATCACCTCTCAACAAAAGATTGCCCCAGGCACCACCAGGCCATCAAATGTAGCTCCAACAACCACCATGTCCGAAAAAACCCAGAAGAACCTAGTATTATATTGTATTACTTTATAATGTTATAAATATTATATGTATATACAATAGACACACAACATATATAGACAGACACTCAGTGGCTATTATTATATAGAAAGTACGCTTCTCTGCTTGAGGCAAGTGTGAATGTTGCAATCGGCCACCTTGATTAGTGGTGAATAGCCTTGCAGTTTCAAAGCCTGGCTGGTTGCTGCCTGGGGGAATCCTTTGTTGGGAGGTATTAGCTGACCATGATTGAATCCCGTCTGGAATCGCCTGTTTTTTGAGTGTTGCTCTTTATTTAGCTTCTTGATTCTGGTGGATTTTTAATACTGATAGCCAGATTTTGTTCATTTTCATGGTTTTCTCCTGTGTTGCAACAGAATGAATTAGATAATAATAATAATAATAATAATAATAATAATAATAATAATAATACTCTTTATTTATACCCCACCACCATCTCCCCAATGGGGACTTGGAGCAGCTTACATGGGGCCAAGCCCGAACAACATATTACATCAAGATAAAACCAAAACATAAACAACAAGCAACATCATCAAAATTACGTAAAAAAATCAATAACAAAATAGCATTACAATAAACAAAAAACACAAACATAGTAAGCAGTGGGCGGGCAAATTTTGTACTATAATGCAAATTGTATACTATAGATGATTTAGCTGCTTCAAAATATCGTTTCCCATTAGCTTATGCGTCTCTGTTTATATTGAGACTTGTCATAGTTATTTCTTTAGTATCGTTCTCTAGCATGTTTCAATGTTTCTTTTTAGATTATACTTCCTATTCATTGATGTACATGCAGCACAAAAGCTGAAGAAGTGAGAGGCAGAGATCAAAAGGAACAGCAACATATTGTTTATACCTTTTTCTTCTTACGCTTTTCAGGGGACGGCAGATGCTGAGAGGGCCTTAGCAGTAGCCAAACTTGTGTAAGTCCATCCACGTTTATTGCATTTCATTTCTTCTCCTCCTGAAAATGTGCTTGGCCTTCCATTGTAAGCTCTGTCTTGCGAAATATATTCACAGAAATTCATTAGGAGCAAAACTGATAGTATTCATACTAGCATTCGTATCTTTATCAAGCAAAACAGTGGATAAGAGTAAAATATTGTCTGTTATAAACTAACTAGCTTAGGTATTTATTATTTATTTATTTATTTACGGCATTTATATGCCGCCCTTCTCACCCCGAAGGAGACTCAGAGCGGCTTACAATATATATTTTCATACAATATATTATATTATTAGCATTGTACAATATCAGTATTATATATTACTATCTTGCACTATACCATTATATTGTGATATTATTAGTAATATTACATGTAATGTAAATATATATGTTGCGAGACAGAGCCCTTAAAGCATCAGACCAGTATTTAGTAAAAGTAAAGTTTATTAGTTCACAGCCAAGAGAGTCCAAAAACAAACCAAAAAAGCTCAAAACACTTATTCTTCAGTGTGAAACACAGTATTACCCACAGTTAACCCAAAAAACAAGACCTGGAAAATAACCCAGATTAAACAGGAATATAATCCGGTTTAAATTTAAAGCTATGAAATCAGCAGGGGAAAAAAGGCACTCCAATCCACAGCAGGATGTCAGCGAATACGAAGGGTCTAACAGCAAGGCCGAAGTCATCTACCGAAGTCAGTCCAAACATGATGTAGTCGTCGTAGCGAATCCAATCCGGGTCGAGGAAGAAGAAGGCAGCAAACATGATAATCCAGTCCAGGTCATACACAGAGCCAAAACGAAGAATGGCAGCGCAGCAGCTAATGCATAAGATCAACACAAAGGCAGTCCAGAGAAAGCCCCATAGTTCCAACCCCCGTAGCCATGGATAATCCGGTTTAAATTTATGTCCACAGAAGTCTTCCCAAACAGCTCTCAAGGACACATGAATACCCATCAACACCTTGCCGACTGCAAGGAACCCCATCTCCCAACCCCACTATTATTAACAAATCATCCTCCGAACTGGAACCAGCCGACACCGTTACCAGCTGAAGCCCCTTGCCCCAATTCTTCCTCAGAACTGGAATCAGACAACGCCCCACCAGACCTCCTTTCAACTGAAGCCCTTTGCTGATCTCTCCAATCACTCCATCTTCTATCCAGACCCATAACTCCCCAAGACCCAGCCGGATCCCCATTGTGCCAACCAGAAGCTACAAACATGTCGCTACTTGTGGGCTCTTTACAAATGTTCTGAACATCCCACACTTTAGTCCAGTCCATTTCTCCATCCTCTGAACTTGCCATACCACTCTCCTCAGTCTCAGACCCATTATTCCCAGTGAAGCCCTCAAATGATTCATCATGCTAATTGGTTTTTGAGTTATGTTAATCCCACAAACGAACATTACATTTTCATTTATATAGATATAAATATATAGATATATTGTACTAATTAGACTAAGCATTGCTTCTTTGCATTTATCTATTTTTTTTTTAAAAAAAAGTTGTTTGTATGCTGCCTAGATTCAAAAATTTGAAAGTGGGGTACAGCAGTAAAATGTAAGAATGAAAATATATATAGTCCTTAGAAAAGGAAAACAGGAAAAGTGAATCTGACAGCACTTTTAAGACCAATTTATATTTTAACAGATGACTCTATGACGGAGATTGCAGCCTTTCAGATTATCAAGTAATTGGCTCTTTATTTAAATATGCTGCCAGGCTAAGTCAGTATCAAAAAGTGTCTTTTGTGTGAAGGCAAGTTAAGTATGCAAGTGACTTGGAAGTGATCATCCTAAGTGTGCTGTCGCGCCTGGGGACTATAACTCATAGTGAAAGAGGCATGGACATGACATCTTTCCCCCAGGGGATTGCTTCTTGCTCTCATTTAGGTTTTATTGTTCACAAAGAGTTATTATCCCTTTAAGGCAATAAACTGGAAGTTTCAAAGGGGTAAAGGAAAATATACATTAGTCTCTGGTTGTCTTGGATCCAAGGAGTTTTGCAGCTGAGAAGCTTTTCCAGGTCCCTCTTTCTCAATGGCTGTGAATATTAGAATAATCACAACCCCAATTCCAATGGCCTATATTTTGAAGGCACAAAGCCTTCCTCTGGTGCCAAAGAACTGGTTTGAAGGCGTTTGAGACTTCTCAACGTCATCCAGGTAGATCTGAACATGAAGCATAAGTCTCAAGGGTAAGAACCTCACAATTGGTGCTGAGAGGTAACTTAATCAAGGGCTTCAGAGCCAAGTCTCTCTCTCACGTCCATCTGATAGAAAGTTTGATGGTGGAATGGAAAAGGAAACACTGTCCTGCTCTCTAGGAAGAGGTGGGGTCAAATTGAGCAGGAGGAGCAATTCAACTGGTGCAAACAACATTGATTGACAGCTATCAATCATTCCAACTATACATTTGCAGGGTAAAAGGCAAAATCATGCATGATACAACAGTTCAAATCCTGCAACTTACAGTTCTGCATATAGGTGGCGCCTCTCGTGCTGTCACACTAAGCTTTTGCAATGTTTACAAATGTTTACTGTCCAAACTATATAGTAGAAAATGTTCTCCTCAATCTGGATGCCTTCCAGGGGTGTTGAGTTACAACTCAGATATCCTCACCCATAAATCCTATGAATCTAGTGTCTTGTCTGAGAAAATGCTCGTCCCTCGATCAATTGCTTCAAAGCTCTCAGCATAAACTTTTGAAGTATATAAATGCCTTTGATCCTGTGGGGTACATTTTTGAAATTTTCCTGCATTTCAGAGAAAATGATGTGGCTGGCATTGATGTCAACATGGGATGCCCCAAAGAATATTCCACAAAGGTAGGTTAGATTTTGTCATTATTTTCCTACAGATAATTCTTCTTGAGTTGAGGAACAAGTATTTGTTGAAATTAATGACATATTGTCCATTAATCTGCAAAAAAAATTTTTGGAAAAATAACTCTTCTTCTAACTTTTGGAGATATAAAATTAAAACAGAAAAAGAAAGAAATAATAATATTTTTTGTTACAGCTCTAAGATTAATTATAGTCAAAACATGGAAAGAAAATTATGAATTCAAAATTGACTATTGGTACAAGGAGACATAGAACATCACAATAAACAGTAAACTGGCAATATGGGGTGAATTCATAGAATATATATATTTTAAAGAAAAGGGAATAAAACCAAATCAGCATATATTAGCATTTTGGAGAAGAGATCAGTATAATAATCATTAATATTAAGGATAAATATATGTCCCATGGGTGGTGGTGCATGTAGAGATGAAATGTATAAAAAATATGATTAATTGTATTGTTGACGGCTTTCATGGCCGGAATCATTGGGTTGTTGTAGGCTTTTTCAGGCTATATGGCCATGTTCTAGAGACATTCTCTCCTGACATTTCGCTTGCATCCTCAGAGGTAGTGAGGTCTGTTGGAACTAGGAAAAAGGGTTTATATATCTGTGGAATGACCAGGGTGGGACAAAGGGCTCTTGTCTGTGAATGTTTCAACTGACCACCTTGATTAGCATTTGATGGCTTGACAGTGCCTGGGGGAATCTTTTGTTGAGAGGTGATTAGCTGTCCCTGATTGTTTCCTCTCTGTTGTTTTGCTGTTGTAATTTTAGAGTTTTTTAATACTGGTAGCCAGATTTTGTTCATTTTCGTGGTCTCCTCCTTTCTGTTGAAGTTGTCCACATGCTTGTGGATTTCAATGACTTCTCTGTGTAGTCTGACATGGTGGTTATTGGAGTGGTCCAGCATTTCTGTGTTCTCAAATAATACGCTGTATCCAGGTTGGTTCATAATATGCTGTGTCCATCTGGCTACCTCTAGAACATGGCCATATAGCCGGAAAAAACCTACAACAAGCTGTATGATTAATTGTTCAACTGATTTATTGTATGAGTTGTTTGTGTGTGATTTGTTTAATTTATTACTTACTAGCTTTTGTACCCAGCATTGCCCGGGTTATTAGAAGTATTTTTATTTTAGGTTCTTGTGGGTTTTTTCGGGCTATAGATATTAAATATTTTTATTTTATTTTATAACTAGCAGTCCTCTGCCACGCGTTGCTGTGGCCCAGTTTGGTGATCTCAAAAATAAAGCAATGAGAAAGTGTTGGTTCCTAATATATGTAATTTCTTTATGCTTGTGGGTAAACAGTACTTCTTGTTGTTTCTTTGTTGGTGTTAATGTAGATTGTCTGATTTGCCTACTCTGGAACATGAAACATATTATTGTCCTTCTTTAGGGGGTCCCTTTCAAATCTATGATCTGTGTGTGTGAATCATATATATCTATCTATATCTATAGCTGTATGGCTCTTTGTCAGGATGGATTTGTTTATGTTTTCTTGCCCTGGTGAAGGGAGTTGGACTGGGTGGCCTTAAGTATTTTCTCTTGGTCATGGGAGTTCTATGTGGGAAGTTTGCTCCAATTCTATCGTTGGTGGGGTGCAGAATGCTCTTTGATTGTAGGTGAACTGTAAATCCCAGTAACTACAACTCCCAAATGTCAAGGTTTATTTCCCCCAAACTGTATCTGTGTTCATATTTGGGCATATGGAATATCCGTGCCAAGTTTGGTCCAGATCCGTCATTGTTTGAGTCCACAGTGCTCTCTGGATGTAGGTGAACTACAACTCCTGAACTCAAAGTCAGTGCTCACCAAACCTTCCCAGTTTTTTTTTTTTTCTGTTGGTCATGGGAGTCCTGTGTGCCACGTTTGGTTCAATTCCATCATTGGTGGTGTTCAGAATGCTCTTTGATTGTAGGTAAACTATAAATCCCAGCAACTACAACTCCCAAATGACAAAATTATTTTTTTTTAGTAATGGTCACTCCTTCGGTTAGTAGGTGTCTTGTGGCCAAATACGGTGGCAATTTGTCCAGTGGTTTTTGAGTTATGTTAATACCACAAACGAACATTACATTTTTATTTATATAGAAATGCATAGGGTTGTGGGCATACTACAACGCACATCATTCTAGGTTAACCCCCTGATATTCAATTAATACTTATGTTTGTTATGTTGGGCAAGTTTGCTCTAGATGCATCATCTGTGGGGTTCAGTATGCTTTCTGGTTGCAGGATGTGTTACAACTCTCACCATGGTGGGTCAGTCCTGTCAAATCCCTCTAGTACGTTCAGTTGATCATGGGGGTTCTGTGTGCCAAGTTAGGTCCAGGTCCATCATCGGTGGGGTTTGCAGTGTTCTTTGATTGTAGGTAAACTACAAATCTCAGTACCTACAATGGCTATAAATCAAGGTGGATTCCCCCCCCCCCCCCAACCTCTCCAGTATTTTTCTTTGGTCATGGGGATTCTGTGTGCCAAATGTGGTTGAGCTCCATTGTCAGTGGGGGTCACGGTGCTCTGACTTGATGCAGGGTGAACTACAACTTCCATCAGGTGGATCCAATCCCCCAACCACCTCCAGTATGTCAAGTTGATGATTAGTTCTCCTCTGTATGTTGTGCAGACAGAGTTGAAAGGAGTAGGAAAGGGTTAAGGGAGAGGCAGTGGATGAGAGTCATGCAAATTCCACTCCGGTGGAGAAAGTAAGAAACACTGAGATGTCTGTGGTGGAGGAAACATGTAAAATCTAGGATGAAATTGTTTCAAAATGAAAGCATTCTTTGGATGGTGGGCAGTATGGTGTTTGGGGAGGGTATTGGCAGGGGTTGGGCTACATGTTCATGGCTGCTCGCTATAACCTGAATTGTCATTGGAAAGAGGGCTTTAGGTGGCTCCTCAGCACTGGGGCCTAAATCTGTTTGTGGAAGCAGGAGCTTGTCTGTGGAAGTGGGCACCCCAGTCACACACATTGGTAGGGGTCTGTGGTTACTCAAGCATTTTAAAGTGCTACAAATCCCATTATCTTCGTTCCACCTCCCCCAAACCGCATCAGGATATAAAGTGGGTCATGGGAGTTATGTGTGCCAAGTTTGGTCTGTTGCTTGTACAGGTCACAGTGGCTTGTGAAAGTGGCAGCCAATCAGAAAGCTGCCTCATACATCGCCACCTACATACATACATACATACATACATTCACTTTTATTATATACTAGCTTGGGGATCCTGTGCTGCCCGGGTTATTTGAGAAAGGCAGTGTTTGTCTGTGCTCCAACTTTAGTCTAGATCCAATGTTGGCTGGGTCCAGTGGGTGCAGGTGAAGTATAGCCTCATGGTCCATCCTCTTCCAAACCGCACCAAAATGTAGAATGGGTCATGGAGGCTCAGGGTGCCAAGTTAGGTTGTGATCAGTCATAGGTGTGGATTGCAATACTCTTAGGAAGTGGGTGAAGCTACTGCAAGTCCCAGCATCCATGATTCATTGGCCCACAAACCCCACCTAGATGTCGAGTGGCTCATGGGGGCTCTGTGTGTCAAGTTTGCTCTTGATCAGTCATTGGTGTGGGTTGCAGTGATCTCAGGAAGTGACTGAAAGTACTGCAAGTCCCATCATCCATGATCCACCCTCCTCCAAACTGCAGCAGAACATAGAGTGGGTTACGGGGCTCTGTTTGTGAAGTTTGGTCTTTATTGGTCATTGATGAAGGTCGCAGTTCTTTCAAGAAGTGAGTGAAGGTACTGCAAGTCCCATAATCCATGCTCTGTCCTGCCCCAAACAGCACCAGGATGTAGAGTGGATCATGTGGGCTCTGAGTGCCAAGTTTGGTCTCGATCTGTCATTGGTGGGGGCCACAGTGGTCTGTGGGTGCCCAAGCGTTTTAAAGTACTACAAATCCCATAATCCGTGGTCCACCTCCCCCAAACTGCACTAGGATGTAAATTGGGTCATGCGGGTTATGTGTACCAAGTTTGGTCCAGGTCCATCACCCGTGCTGGTCACAGTGGCCTGTGAACGTGGCAGCCAATCAGAAAGCTGCCACATACACCTCCGCATACAAACATACATACATACAAACCTTCATTTTTATTATAGATATAGATGTAGAGATATAGATATAGACAAACAAACCAACCAACTGACCTTTTCAGGCAATCAACACCGAAGGCATGTCGTCTGCCAAAGAACAACTGCTCTATGAACTGTGCCGAGATAAGAAAACCAGGCCTCCAAGTCAGCAGTGCCCACAACACTGAAGAAAACAATATAGAGGTTATAACAGTAGAGCTTAATCACATCACAATTACCTCTGTGTCTCAAACAACGAGTTTTGTTTCTCCTCCCCTGAGAACTTTGATAGGCACCAAAGGGCGGTAGTAATTGGTGACTTTAACAGCCATAGCCACATATAGAGTTATGCTTGAGAGGATAAAAATGGAGAGGCTGTCCTCTCCTGGTCTGAACTGCACTAACTATCACTCATTCATGATAGTTAGCTCCCACCATCCTACAAGAGTGGGAGATGGCACCACGGATATAGCCTAGACCTCTGATTTGTGAGTGACAGCATTGTGCAGCAATGCACTAAATCAGTGGGACTACCAATACCAAACACACAGCCAACAATAGTATGCCAACGGTTCCAACTATAAGGCCTCAGGAAGTTTGATGTAAACAAAGATTCAACTTCAGAAAGGCAGATTGGACTAAATTCTCAGTCATATCAGATGACATGATCATATCGGTCGTACCAATCCCTGAGGAATCCTTCCTTCTTTAGGCGATCCCTCATTGTCCGAGTAGGAGAGTCTTCCAAGATCAGTGTACTGGCGGTGGGTCCGTAGGTGACTGTGGAGCCCTATTCTTGATCTGCATCTTCTCCCACAGTGAAGGCATTGATTACCAAGTGGAAGGCGGTTCCAGTCGGGGTTGGCTTGACACACCTTCCTCTTGGCACGATTCTCTCTTTCTCCCTC